AGCCTATGTTCTATATGCACGCCAAATTTCATCAAGATCCGTTCATCTGTTCTGGAGATACCTTCAAACAAACATCCATCTATCCATCTAAAAATTCGCAATTATAATATTAGTATGATGTAGCTCTTTTTATCCTGTCACAAATGTATTGATACCAATAGTGAGGTAGGGATGTGAGTGATTTACGAGAAGGGATAGCTGAAGTAAGTAGACGTCATTGAACCTCTGCCCTGCTAAGAAAACATTGATTTACAGATCATACTTATATATTTTTACATAAATGTAAATGTAAAGCTGGAACTTCTTTCTTGCTATTAATACATCTAAATTAAGTAAATGAATAAATAAGAAATAAAAAGACAGTATTTGTATATTTGTTACTTTATTAAATAATTTCATTTTACAACCAATATTGAATGAAGTAACATTTCATCACATTATCGTTACATTACATATAAATTATAGACACATATAATAATTGCGATTACAGACACTTAGGTACATACACATAATGAGGTTTCTAGATAAATGGAGTTACAATTACATGGACTATAATTTAGACTACAATATATATTAGCTAAAATTCATGTAAACAAAAGAAGCATATGGAAGAGGAAATTCAATAACTATTAAATACCTATTAGATATGTTTTGATTTTCTAAGAAAAAAAAAGCAACAACTTTCGTGTAACAAATAAATCATAGAATAACAGTCTGATCACACGAATAATTACAAATTAAATAATAAAATGTTTGTCGTCTAGTTATTTACAATAGTTAGCTAACTAAATAACAATCAACCTAATATTACGTCGAGTTCCCACTTCTATATCGTCTAAATACTGACTGTGTGCAGTGCAACAATGAAACAAATCTATAATGATCCTCTACGTGAAAAAACATCTAAGCTAAATAAATAAGTCGAGGCCTTGTGTTACACTCATGACGCTAGTTATATCCAATTCAAGTATATTTTAATAATAGCCAAGATGTATAAGGGATATTCTTTTGGAATGCATACATAGTTTACACACAATATCCTTATAGAGCTTCATTCAACTTGGCTAAGTACTAGCGCCATCATGTCAAACATAATACCGTTAAAATCTTTTTCAGTACAATGTGTCCTTTTGACACTTTTACTTTTGTCAGTCAATTGATTATCCTGTATAAAGCATATATTTTTGAACCGCTACTTCTAATATTTGAGCAGATTAAAAATTCCCGAAGTTTAATCATATATTTGCCAATTTCAAGCAGCTTTATAAGTTAAATAGCGCAAAAGTTGTTACCATTTGCATAAGCATCCACTTTACTTTCTAAAACTTTTACAAGTAATACAATAAATCGTATTATAACCACACTAACGATTCAAAATGGAAAACGTACCTACTCATATAAATTCAGAAAACTTACTTTTATCATGGCAGACCGTACTAGATCCGGAATACATCACTATTGTCCGTACACTTCGCGATTGACACCTGTCACATTGACATTTAACACTTGACTTTTTTGCAGCTATTTTAAAACAGACTAGTTTAATCTTTGACGTTTATTTTTAATCTTAGAAATTTTTGACATTTTACGACGAAGATTATTTTTTATCTTTGACGTTTTCATCAGCTGATTGCGACATTTTTTTATGTACGATGTAAGGTGTGCTTTCTGTATGTTTAATGTATCAAAAGACAGGTGTCGTGTAGTCGCGAGTGTCTACTGTAGCGCGAGGGGGTCGCGCTGCCGCGAGCAGAACACGGCGCACAGCATGGGCAGCGCGCTCGTGAGCAGGCCGGCGGCGGCGGGCGCGGGTTATGCGTACGACTCTTTGGCAGGACTCTGCGGCTTGGATCCCAGCGAGCCCGCGCTGCTGCGGCTATGACGACCCTCCGGCGTTTGAGATCTAGACAAAGAAAATGTGTAGTGTAACTGCAAATTGCACTAGTTGTAATGTTGCCACCCATAAGTTAGCATTTAGGTTTGCCAGCATTTGTATCAAATAATAAATACTTTTTTGTGAAATAAATTATTCTTAAATAAAAATTCTTGCATAAAAATTAACATAGACATGTATTAAGGTTCTAAATGCTTATTTGTACTAGGTGTTTTAATATTCTCTGTAGTGTAGAGTTTATTTAAATGTGGTTACTTTTGTGAGTCTAGATGAACGCTGTTCCGCGATGGCGCGGATGGGCTGAGCTTGTGATTCGCCAGGAACGTGCCTATTGACTCGTCAGAGCTGTAGCTGTCGTTTTCACTGAAACAAATATATTTAAAAAATGAAATAAAATTTAACCCAAAATTATCTTCGCGTCAACTTCAAAACGAAACAAGTCAGACTAACTGTTTCAGCCGTATACTTCTTGTACTTTAAACATTTAGTATATTTATAAGTATGTTTACGTGTCGGAGTCGCGGTCGTTGTTGCTGGAGAGGTCTCCGGCGATGGCCTCCTGCAGCGCGTGCGCTCGACGCGCTGCAAGCCGCGCCTCCTCGCGCGCCGCCGCCGCCTCACTGGCCGCTGCACTCGCCGCCGCTTCCGCCGTCGCTCGTGCCCTTGTTGCCTCACCGAGGCGCGACGTCAGCGAAGCGTTCTCTTCTTTTAGTTCCCTGTTTATGTTGAAAAAATAAAAAATATTACTAAAATATATTACTGATTATTTAGAACGTTAATTCTTTTTTTATTACGCATTACCGATGCGAGAGCAACCGCTAGTATATATACTCATTTACCTAATGGATCGCTGCAACTTGCGCAGTTCGTCAGCGGCATGCATGTCGCGTGCGCGCGCTGCGCCCAGCTCCGCGGCGAGCGCGTCGTGCGCGTCCCGTAGTCTCGCCAGTTGTCCCTCAACGCGCGCTCGTGACGTCGCCTCCATCTCTAAGCTAGATTCCAACTCCTGGACACATAACAGAATCATATTACAACAAATTTAAACAATACAAATTAGAGAACATTAGTTCTATATTATATGGTGTTTGTAATAAGATGAATGTTGCTAACTTTGTTCCTCATCTCGAGTCGTCGCTCGGCCTCGCTGTGTCCGTGCGTGTGTCCGGCTTCAGCGTGTGCGAGGCGCTGCGTCACCTCCGCGAGGCGCTCCTTGGCCTGGCGCGCCTCCTCTGCCGCTGCTTCCGCGCGACTTACTGCCTCCCGCGCCTCCGCCTGCGCCGCGCACAGCGCGCTCGTGCTGCTGCGGTACTTCTTCAACAGCTGAAACAGTTACAATGTTTCATAGTACAGATTTTTTTAAATAAATCTACGGATCTTATAAATGCGAAAGTATGGATGTTACCACGTAAATCCACAAAACCTTACCGTAGGTTTCTTAGACCAAAGTCGCCGTTTAATTTATTGCTATCTCTGTTTTGTTAAAGATAATGACAGATGACGTAGATTTTAGTCTCAGAAACCAACGGCAATGAAACTAGATGAAATTAGGACCAGAGACCAATTAGTCATATATATTACAATTTGGATAAGCTACTCATTTTTTTTATTAAACGAAGACAAATATGCCAGGTAGTATTTATATATTCCAAGTACCTCTGCTGCCTCCTCCTCAGCGTCATCGAGTGCTGCACGTGCAGTGGCGGCATCTCGCGAGGCGGTGAGCGCGCGCTCTGCGGCCTCAGCGCGCGCACGTGACGCCTCCTCCAGCGCCGCGCTCGCCTCCGCAGCCTCCGCCTCCGCTGTGGAGCGCGCCTTGTTCGCCGCACGGAGAGCTAGCTCCAAATCTTCCACCTACCATACATAATAATTATAATAAAACTTTCTTGTACATTTAACAAATCTAATTCATTGTAACCTTGACTTGTTGACTTCCTATACGATGTTAAATTACGTATGTACAGTTTTTATTAGTTGAACAATACTATTAAAATGTAAAGAAATAAAATAAAAAAAAATACTCTTTCAAATTGTCTACATAAATATGTTTTTTTTTATAAATGTATGATACATACCTGGTTCTTGAGTTGTCGTATCTGTGCCTTAGCTCCTCCTTCTTTTTCTTTTTGTTCGAGCATCGTTTGAGCATCGCGTAATAGTGCCCTGTATCTCTTTAAATCTCTGTAACCAAATAATCCAATATGAACACGAAACCATAATAAAAATAGGATTAAATGAACGAATGAATGAAACGTAGAATGAATGACTGAATGATATGTAGTATACCTCTTGAGTCGTAGCACTAGCTGGGCCTGCTCGTGTGTCTCAGCGCGCGCGGTCTCCTCCAGCGCGGCGAGGCGACGCTCCAGCTCGTGTCGCTCTCTCAGCAACAAACTACGCTCAGAGTGCTCGCTTTCCAGCTGACTTTCCAGCACTAGAATCACACAAATATAATTAAAATGCGGAAAAAATGTTTATAAACATGAGTTTTTTAATTAATTGCCCTTAAACCGATATATTTAGGTATTAAGTATATAAAACCTATTTAAAGAACGAACAATTAGATATATGTTCAATGAGTTCGATTAGTGATACAAAAAAGATTCTTCAAGTCTTACTCTTAAGTTTCTTGGCGGCATTAGCTCTGGTCTCCTCCATCTCGTCATCACGCGCGGCCGCCTCCAACCGTGCTTCCTTGCGCTGCTGCTCCAGCAACATTTCTAGCCTCAACTTAGAGCTCTCCAGAAGCTAGAAAGAGAGTATGTTCCTATAGATTATTCACAAATAAAGAGGCGAATATTCCTTTACTAAGCTAGCGAGTACCATCTTTCGGCTATTATAAAAATATGATGTGTGAGTTTGTCTGTATGTTTTGTTGTATACCTGTATCTGACCGGCGAGGTCGTCGAGTTCCTCCTCCTGGTCGCGCACCCTGCGCTCGAGGTCAGCGCGTGCTCGGCGCAGCGAGGCCAGCTCGTCCCCGCCGCCCCCGCGCTCCTCCAGCTCGCGTGTCGCCGCGCTCAGTCGCTCCTCTTTCAGCTCCAGCTCCAAACGAGCTTCCTAAATGTACAACCGAATCATTCAATCACAATGTACAAACATAAAATAGTAACACAAGTTATCGCCCGCGGCTGATCTGTGCGGGATTTAAAAAACTTGAAAAGTAGCCTCTTTGTACTTCCAGACTACGTTCCAAATCTATGCTAAATTTTAACGAATAATATTAGTAAAATAATAAGATATATGTTGATTAACTACTCAATTAAGTTTGCTCCAATTTTGAGGTGACAAACATATTACATATAAATTAAATATCGATATGTAGATATTAAAGTCTTTATAGATAGTATATAAGGCAGTATAGTATACTGACGGAGAGGGTCTGCTCGAGCGCGTACTTGTCGGCGAGCGCTTGGTCGCGGTCGCGCGCGTGTCTCTCGCGTGTGGCGCGCTCGCGCTTCAGCTCCTCGTTGGCGGCCTGCAGCTCCGCGTCGAACTTGCGCTGACGCTTCTCCAGCAGGTTGTTGCGGCACGTCTTAACAATACATATTATACTAATTTATAAATATTTAGATAAATATAAATGATTTCAACAAGCAAGACAACTACATAGTTGAAAATTGTACGTTATTTCATACAATTTTCTAACCGAAAACAAGAGGATGTTAAGAGTTTTTTTATTTTTTATTTTGACATAGTTAATTAAAGAATCGTTTCAATATTCTAAGCATTTATATAAATCAGAATAATTAAAAATATACCTGTTCATCTAACAATGATCTGAGGTCCGCCATGTCGTTTGTGAGTTTCTGTAGCTTGCGCTTCCAGCCGGCAGCCACCGCGCGCTGCTCTTCCACCTCCTCGTACGCGTCTTGCACCTGCAACGACATCTACCGTGAAATAACACTCTAATACAACATATTGTTGTCTCTGTTCCACTTAACATCACTCAAAGAGAAAGAGAGAGATGACCATATGAATAGACAGTTCTATTATATTACAACTAACTTAAAATCGTATTTCAGTACTCTCTTTACAGGTGACGATCACTTTTCATCTCTGTAATCCTAGTAGATATAACAAAGAACAAAATTTAAAAAAAAACTATTTTATTTTTTAACGGACAACATTCTATCAGTGATGACATGATGAATACATTTTCATTTTAAAATCATGAGAAAATATGCGAAAAGTAAACAATGGATTTGGCTGTCACGTAGTAACATTTGTTATTTAAAAAAACACTTTCAACCGCTGTATTTTCTTTCATTGGACTGTCGCCAAATAAATTGTTAAAGCTATAAATCCACAAATTCTATTGAAACGAATCGGTGCCCTTACGAATTAATAGTTCACTGACCTGATCATTTTCTTCATCCATTTTACATCAAAACATAAACTTAACAATATTACTCTTTATATCCTAAAAAAACATATTTCCTAAGTACCTAATTCATAACATTTTGTTAATTTCATACACTAATTTAAATTTATAATAAATATTAATTTTGTTTAATTTTCAATCACGAAAAAAATCACAAAAAATTACACGAAAAATACGTATTAACGTTAACAGCTAATTAGTAGTGTAGGATAAAGGTGTGATAAGGGAGTGATATAATTAAAAAAAACACGCGTATTCATACAACAAGGTATGTCAACTAAATACTATGTCATATCAGAGATTCAAGATACATTATCAGCATCAGTCGATCAAGGATGAATTGAGATAACTGGTTTTTTGTTCACAGATAAACATTCTAACCTATTTGTACAGTGAGATTTTCGCAACCTATTGACGTATCTTCAATTTCGTAAGCGAGTCTTATTTTTATTATTGGAATTTAGAAATATGTTAATGTTAAAATACATGTAAACATAGACTCCAGAATCACGTATGATATTGCATTTAAATAATAAAAAAATTACTTCAAATATTGCTTCTATGAGGATATGTTTACATCGTTGGCTTTAACAGCGAGTGTTTCCCGTTGGGCCGATCGACATAACGACAAAAACGCCTCCAATGCTATAGTGCTCGTATAAAACACTCGGTAAAACATATCATGTTACTGTAAATAAAGCCACTCGTATATATCATAGTATTCTACAACGAACCTTCTTTTCCAGCTGCTTCTTGACCGTAACCAGCTGTTCCAGGTCATCTTCGTGTTGTCGGCGTAGCTGCGCGCGCAGCAGTTGCAACTCTCTGTGCGCTTGCTCGTAGCGCCGTTTGTACTTCTCACTGCCGATGCCACTTTCAGCTTCAGAACCTTCGGAATCCGATGGCTCGACTCCGTTCTCAGCGGAACGCCAGTGGAGTAATTCTAGTTCTAGACGTTCTGACGCCTGGAATGAATCGTATTTGAAATTTATTATAGACAAAAATTAAGGTTAGAGGACATATTATCCAAAAAACTGTCCAATAATGATACTGTGTTTTAAGTCTCATCATCAGCTCACTATACGTCCCCACCGAGGGGCTTGGAGCCTACCCTAAGTTAAGGGTGATTAGGCCATAGTCAACCACGCTGGCCAAGTGCGGGTTGGTTGACTTCACACATATCTTTGAATTTCTTCTCAGATATGTTCAGGTTGCATCACGATATTTTCCTTCACCGTAAGAAGTTTTAAGTGTATCATTGTAATAACAAATAAACATTTAATTCTTAAAATAATTTTAGTACAGGAACACTAAATACCACTGGATTATTTTGTTATATTATATTTATACTAAAGTTGTATACACACAAAATTGTTCAAGGTCACAAAATTAAATACATTCAAACACAGGACTTTTAAATTAGAGTTACAATAATAACAAAGAAAAGACATCCAAAAATCTGATTGTAATATTGTATAGAAGTAATCGTGTGATATCCTCATGCATTTTACTTTTTAACTTACTAACACTGCTCCTACTTCTAATATTCGAACTATCAATAAGTAGCAGTATTAAGCTCACCTGCTGTAGCCGTTGGTTGTTGGCGACCAGATCTCTATTGTCCCTTTCAACTCTTAACCGTTCTGCAGCCTCGGCGTCAGCGCGCTCGCTGGCCAACGCGGCGGCCGCACGCTCCTCCGCTAACTCACCGCCCACCTCTGATAGCTAAGCATAAAAAAGACACGTTAAAATATATTGGAACATTTATTTACCACGTTTCATACCACTACATTTTTTATATAAAACGGAACTCGTTAGGAGTGTCCTTGAGTATGTTAAGAAAATTTTGAGAAATGTATCCTGAACACTAAAATAGAACAAAACAGTAAAATACCTAGACATAAAATTCCATAGGGTTTTTAAAAACAAATCCTAAATTTTTTTTCTTATAAAACTTGCCAGTCGAATTGGTGGCACTGAACGTGTTAAATTTGTGGTTCTAATATGATCCACTGGCCCCAATGAGATAACAATACACATAAACATGTACTTAAATTATAAACTTATGTTAAAAATAAATTATTTTTTACCTTACGTCTACTTCGAACCATTTTAAAGGTACAACTATTTGTTTTTTTGTACAAAATGCTCTTCAATGGGCTTTTAATTGATTAAGATATTAAAAATTTAAAAACTCATTATGTGGTTTTGTATCAGCATTGAATTTAAGAAAAACAAACCCTTTATTTCTGTGCAATAAGAGTAAAATTGATTCGAAGATAAGAAGTACATCGTTAATAGCTTTTATAATTTATCTACGTCTAACAAGAGGTATTCAATTGCTCAGTAAAAAGGTTTTAATTAACGCATTATTTATCAACCTCGTCTGCGAATGGCCTAATAACAAGCTGGTAATATTTCAAACAACGAGTTACGGTTTAAAATTGGAACGTAATGACGTCGCGAGTGGGAGGTTCGTCCATAACAAACATTTCTACGCGTAAGATTTGCATCGCTTGCAAGTTTACTGCTGCCAAATGTACACAACGCTTCCTCTCGGTTAAAGAGCAAATTATGTAATTCAGTGGCCCGTGCGTAACGGGCGCTTCCGTTTATATTTTGAATGACAATGTTGACGGCTTGCTGAGACAAACGGCCAAGAATTCACTCGTTTGTAGACGATGGTAATAAACAAATAAAAGAATTATTTTTTGGCATCAGCATCGTTACGTGATTAGCTAGCCAAGACGCAGGCGTAAGCGCCACTGGTAGCGAGCGTACAACTATTTAAATTTGAAAGGTCAATTATACAATAATACATGGGTTAGGCCAAGCTGAAGTCCCGTAGACTTGAGAAACAGACGTTCAGAGTCAAAGGACCGACCTCATCCATTTCGGAGACAGTGGTCCTATCTTCTGATATTCCTCGGTTGGATCTGCAGACACTGCTCGCTCTACTGCCGCTGCGACTGAACATCGTGAAACCCTTAATCATTATATTGGTAGCCGATTTTGATCTGCCAATTGTCCGATCTGATTCGTCTTTGTGTCCGAGTCTGCGCCATTCGTCCATAACATGATCAGTTCTTCTGAGAAAGTTGTCGATTTTTGAACTTAAATAATTCGATGATGTTCCTTCCTCTAAATGTGCTGCGATTGGTTTGAACTTTTGTCGTATTGGTTGTTTATTGCATCCGAGGACGAATGATAAATTAGCGTCAAATACAACCGGAGACTGTTCCTTGGATCTTAGTTCTTTCAAATCGACGCGATTTGAATCGTCACTGGTCTGCGGGTACATTCTCCTAGGAGTAGGTGTAGTTCTGTCGTACAAAGTGGAGTTCATACTAGAAGATCTAGATAGAGGTACAAAAGTACCATTGCTGCTGCATGTTGTATATTGACTGGTCGAACTCCTGATGCTACTATAAGATGATGGGCTGGGCGAGCGAGAGGTTAAAATGCTACCGCATGTACCTAGCACGTGTCTTTTAGCAAGCTCTGCTATGGATCCCGTCTCTATCGACATGCTTCTTTTGTACGTTGGACTCGGTGACCGAGTAACTAGCAATTTTCCATTTTCAGGGCCGTTCTGTTTAATCGTCTGTACTTCCTTCAACTGTTTGGTAACGAAAACTTTTTTCCCACTATGAATGGTAGTTGAAATTTTTGGCGGCACCTTCTCCTCAAAGTTTATCGGTAGAGTTTTGGCCTTTTTCATCGGAAGTATGGGTCGGCTAGGAGGAGCTTTCGGCGGTTTTTTTGGAGTCGCATCCAAAATGGGTGGGGATAGTGGTCCATTGGAATTTGGCGATAGAGCTCCATTAGGTGTAACAGTTCCGTTAGACCTGTCCGGTATTTGAAGACGGAGTGGGTGATCCGTGCCGTTCGTTCCATTCGTGGTCGTTGGGCGGGCGTCTACGTTTGCGTGCGGCATTTTGGTCTACGCTTGGTCTTTGCGTTTCCTACAATGGCGGAAGTTTTTGCCGCGATGAAAACCCAGTGCCATTTCCCCGCCGCGTGCAGTATTATGGTCGCGAGCGGCTCGGGATGCGTCGGGACATCGGTTGGAAATAGAACCGGCCGGCGAGGGCTCCGCGGGCGCACTGCGCCGGCTAACTCGGTCGCAGTCGCCGTCGCTGGCCGCTCGCAAGACTATTTTAGTTTGCGTATGTCGAACTGCAGCCGTGTGACTGACGGACCTTCAAATTTTTTGATACCGATTTAAATAAAAAAAAATACGACAAGCAGATTCGTCGTAGAAATGTACACGAGCCCTTGACCACTTAAAATAAAAAGTCCTTAACAATTGTCACTTGTTCTGTCATGTTTGGTAAAAGATAGATTGGAAAATGGAAAATAAATCATAAAATAAGAGCTAAGAGTTGAAAGTCGAGAAGAACCGCAAAACAACTGTTTGTCTTTTTTAGTCCATATAATAATGAAGATCTTATACCTCACTATTAAGTTTTTTATTTTTTTTTTTTAATTTGGAAGATGAAAGAAAATATATGTACAGAACCATCGCTTACACAGCGAGAGCGGAGCTTCTATATTTTTTATAACAAACACTTCGACGTCACGCATATAATTATTTTGGCAAAGAATGTAAAGATATTAAAGAAAAATGAGTTCTTCACATATGATGCGACAAATGCATAAAATTTCCTTCGTTTGGCAAAAACAACATCTATCCTGCCAAGAATCACTGACGCCTCGGTTAATGCTTGCTAAAATAGCCGCGGTTTATTACTTTAGGTTCATAATTATTAAATAAATAACTCTTATACCCCTCTCTAGCAATGTGCAATAGAAAATCTCTTTCCTAGAGATTTGAATTCTCGTAAAGATACTCTAAAATCACTTTTTTACAAAATATACCGCCTTTTCATTATTTTGTAAGTTTGCCATTTGTTTATATCTCAAGGTTTTAACTCCTAATCTATTTACAATGTATTTGAAGTTATGTTTATTTTCATAGTCTTTATCAGTAGTACGTTATTCTACATTGATTATTAATTTATTAATATTAATAATAATACTAGCTGTCGCCCACGATTCCGCCCGCTCGGAATTAAAAAAAAAATTAATTAGTATCCTATGTGTTCTTCCATGCTATGTTTTATAAGTATGTCAAATTTCTGCGAGTTTCATGCCGCCGTTCAGGAGATACTTTTAAACAAACATCCATCTATTGATCGATCCATTCATCAATCTAAACTTTCGCATTTATAATATTAGTAAGTAATAAGATTATATTATACGGATGTTACTAAAGTCAAATAAGAGAAATGCCAACGTATCTTGCTGAATGAATGCATTGAATGTGACACAATGTACACTGTGACTCATTTAGTTCAAATGTAATTGCTCAGATCTACGACTATTTGACGAATATACGGTTATGTCGGCTTCGGCTTTTAGTCAAATATACGTAATTAAGAGTTTGGCTTTATAGTCTTAATAGCTGTCGCCTGCGACTTCTTCCGTGCGGGATTACAAAAAATATATATATTAGTTCCAGACTATGTTCTACATCTATGCCAAATTACAGCGAGATCCATGCAGCCTTTCTGGAGATACTTCTTTACAAACATCCATCTTAACATTCGCATGTATAATATTGATAGTTATAGAGGCATCATCGTTACAATTAGTTAACTGTGCCATTCGGACGTTCCCACCCGGCAGCGGCAGCGGCAGTTCGTTGTCGATGAGAAATAAATAGCCTGTCGCGGAGTCTGCCAATGCGCTTGATGCAATACCATGTCGATACATCGGTGAATAGATAGATAGCTTCCAAACATAACACTCGACTGCATAATAATTTAATTAATTGCTATGATATATAACAAAGTGTAAAATAATTATAATAAATTTATAGAAAGTCCATAAATTACAGAAATTACATAAACTACAGATTGTCAATATTTTATAATAATTGCAATGTTTTTTACACGTTTTATGTTTACTGGCCTATTTAGGTTAACAATTATATAAAATTGGTTCGTGGATAAATTGTTATTTGACTTAAAATAAATATACTGACCTAGGAAACATAAAATTTAAATATGTCAGTTGAAAATGCATGTGTAAATAACAGTTGGTCGGTTAATAAAAAAGATATAAGACAAAATTAGACAAGACAATTTTCCAGCGCAAGGAATATTTCTGGACAAGTAAATCAGTGAAAATTAGGGCGCGCTCAGCGTGGACGACGTGCGGCCATCAAGTGTTACCAAACTAAAGCTTTTTATGATTACCAATGGAATATTACGTAACCTATAATAAATAACATAATCTTTTAATCCTTACTGTCGGATATCGTATTTTTAATAAATAGCTTTAATTGGAAAATATACAAAGCCAAAAATAACATATTGCAGCATTTCTGTTTTTTTTCTGTTCTAAAATGGAACTTGTATACTTAACATTATAATTGATGTTGTTTGTAACGAGAAAACTTAGGATTACATTTTCATTTTATCTCGTTTCAGTCATATGACGCCTACTGCTGGGCATAGGCCTGTCAAAAAGATCGCCACAATGTTCGTTCCTGTGCTACCCGCATCCAGGATACTCCTGCAACATTGACCTGATCGTCGGTCTATCATCGGATCTTATCGGAAGTTTCGCAAAAGTGTTAAAATGTGACCCGTTTAATTAATAATAATTAGCTTTTATTTATTTATGTTATCTGTGGTACGTAAGTTCATTTTCTGTTAACTGTACACTCGACTTTATAAATAAAATCGCAAATCAAGAAATACATTGCAAAAAATGACCCAAATGTATTATAAATTACGTGTGAAAATTGTCCTCGATTAATTAATGTCGCTAATTTTGTTAACATGTAAAATAAAGTAATTTCGACTTGTTACACGATTTATATGACGGATGACGTCTTTTGATGAAGGAAATAGAAATCATTGGAACATGAAAAAATGTAAACACAGTAATAAAGCGTAGGCGTAAAATTTAAATATTCTTTTCGCTGATAACATATCGGTGACTAATACCAGATTCAATATTTAAACTTTGGTTTATTACAATTGTTAAAAAAATGGTACTTATAGATAGAACCCTTGCATAAGTTATGTTTTGATATCATAAATGCGAATGTTTGGATGTACGGATGGATGTTTGTTCGAAAGTATCTCCAGACCTGCTGCATGGATCTCGCTGAAATTTGCCGTAGATGTAGGACATATCCTGGAAGAACACATAGACCGCCAGCAGCAGCTGCAGCTAGTGAAAAGTAAAACTATTTGAAAGTTATTTTATTATTTAAAAAAGGGTCTTGACAGACAGACTGACAACAAAGTGTTCCTATAAGGGTTCCGTTTTTTTCCTATGAAGTATGGAACCCTAAAAATAAACATTCAAAAATACTGTAGTTATCTCTACCCACGTTAGTAAAGCTTTAAAAAATCTAAGTCATTTCTATGTGAAAAATCCGTTTTATAAAAACCTTGGTGGTTAAAAATAAGAATTATAAATATCTTGCGACGATACAATTGTCGAGTAGGAAAGTTCTCGTGCTGAGAGCAATGACTAACGCCCGGGGAATCGCGCTCAAATCATTATTTTCATTCAGTGTGGTTTTTTCTACAGATTCGTTAGTGTGATGCCACACTGCAAAGCATTTAATCGTGTACCACAATTTCTAAACAAATATTTTAAAGTTCCACACAAGCCGTATTGATTGCAACCAACGTATTATATTTTCTCATTATAGATCATAATTCAATTTCAATATTTAACTTTTTTGTATCCGCAATGCTTTTGCCTTTTGTATACAAATTATCATCATAATGTATATAACAAGTAGGTGTGTTATAAAACGATATATGAAAATATAAAAAACTTTCGAAACGTGCCAACTATTTTTACTTATATTTTATTCCACGAAACTATAAAAACTCCTTAGAAGAAGGCTTAGGGAATATTGTAATCTTTTTATTTAATTTTAATAATATAAAAATTACTGGCAATAATGTCTGTTTTCGAATAAGAACAATAATTTGTAAAATGTAAGTCCTAAGATTGTCAGGTTAGATGGTCGTAGTTAACAAGTTGGGGAAAAAACAATAAAAGATGTATTCTAGAAGCAAATCATAAAATAATGATCCATATTTATGTAATGAGTGTTTACACTATCCACCTGGTGGGTCAATGCACTAAAGGTGTGCACGCGAGGTATTTATGTTCTCTCGGTCAAGGGATTTGTATTGAATGTCGGCCGTATTATGTATTTATAGTATTTACAAATGACATACATAGTATTTTTATATATAGCGATCATACTGACTCAAGTAGCGAAGTAGGTAAATAAGTAAACACTTTTTCGGTAGCAGCATGTAGCACATATGCGTGTGTTTACACAAATCTTTCAATTATTATGTATGTAATCTTTAGGAATCATTTAGTATAATTATTTTCCAAATAATTATTATATATTTTGCGGGTATGTAATTTTGATTTCAGTAAAAAAAAAGTTTTCTTTATCTGATGTTACGTTATTTACGTACGTTATATATATAATTGTAATAAATTGACCTAATCTATTAGCCTAATTAACGTCACATTTTTGTTTAACTGAATTCTATTTAGATTTAAAATTAAAAATGAAATCGTGGTCTGTTATTATAGGTCATGCGTCAATTCAGGTTGAGACATTTATCTAGAAAACTGGTGACCGAGTTTTCTTGCGGTTAGAGCGTTAGTGATATATTTTTTTAAATAAAGAATGTCCAAGAATTAAATTCTTTGAAAATTAATTAGCACTCTTTCAAGTGACAAGGTGAATAAATACACCAATAAAATTTAAACTGAATTTACGTAACATCAGATAAAGAAAAATTTTGTTTTTACTGAATTAAAAATGTTCGTTATAGTGTTACTAAATTTGATTAAATTATAAAAGATCGGTCTCTGATATAACGTCAAACTTATTACACGTACTTTGATGACCTAAGGTTGGAAAAAAATTAAAAAGAGAATTGAACTTACATGCATTTATAAATTTATCACTTGAACCACCGATATACAGCACAGATTTTTTTTTAATATTACCAGGTTATTAAAAAAAAAATAATATTTCTTTCGACCAACTAAATTTCATGAAATACTTTTGACAAAATCTTAACCAACTGATATTAAAAAAAAGGTCTTTTGATAACCTAGGTAGCCTAGGTTACAATAACGCGGACCGTTCTACACCAGCGAATGCGAGATAATCGCGACCTATTGTTTCGATCTTAACAATTGATTTGCTAATCATTGAGAGTTCTTGTGAATTGGTTACGTTATTATACATAGATTGAGAGTTAAGTAATAACATTTTTATTAAATCTATTTCTATACTAAAATATTTTAATAATCTAAAAAAAACTAACATTTATGAAATGTTTCGTTGGTAAATTCATAAAACCCTCGCACTTTTTCAAACATTCTTCTTTCTACACTCCCAAATTGTTGATGACAAGAAATATTTGAAAGGACTTTACGAGATTTTTAATATTAGGTACACTTTTATTAGAGTTAATACGCCTTCTAGCAATATAAACAGAAACACTACGTCAACTTTGCGTATAATATTTTCACAGGCGTTTTATTTTTTTGATTTAATGATAATTCTCAACGTTATAAAAGGTGTTCAATTGTTTTAAACCACTATTAATAATCTATCATTAAAAAGAAGAAAGATATTTTTGTTTGCAAATTAAAAAAAAAGTCTTCAGACGAACAAATGGAATCAACAATATAAAAGTTTCTCCAAGTTTATATCCAATTTAGTATCTTGTGCCTTGACATATTGATAGATTTGTAACTACCATTTAACTTTTTAATGCTACATGGGATCTCTTACCTGTCCTGTCTAACATTGATTTATTACATTAGATATCGAGCATCGCAAAAAGAGCGGGAACATATTTCTTCTAAATATATAAAGACAGATACTTCTTGCTTGTACGTGTTTCGTGTAACCGGACTTCGATGCTCATTAGGAGTTCAATTTTATCTTCATATTAAACATAAAACTTGTTTCTGTATCGAAAAAACGTGTGCTCGTCAATAGCGGCCATTCCCATTTGTGTTTATACCCCGAGTTATAATTAGTGGTAAGAAAAACATTTATTATAGTTTTGCTACGGGAATACTATGTGTACAGGTTCTACTATTTTAGTCCACTAACCGACAATTACAGTGGCCTATTTAAAGAATAAAAGAAAAACATAGTTATGGGCCTGTTATGTTTACGAATTTTCTCATGGCGTTTGTTTTTCTTACTTAGCGACCTTTTGTTGTCGGTGTTAGAAATAATATTGTATTACTTTTAGACATAACAATCTTGACTGATTACAAAGTCAAAACTTTTATTGCTTAGTAGTTTTGTTTTAGAAATAATAAACTCATAGTAATAAACTAAAGTATATGTTTAAAAAATATAATTACGTCAAATTTTTAATGTCTTATATTAATGTCAGAAATGTGTAAATTTATTTAACACATCAATAAATAAAAATTATCTATGTCTTACCTTATTTTCCAGTTTTTCAGTTTCGCCCTTATAGTGTGTACGCTCGCCTTCGACTTTGTCCAACTTTGCACGTAAAGTTTCCAGCTCTTCCTACGAAAAAGAAAGACATATTTAAATAAATTAAAAAGTTTTTTTTCATAAACTTCTATTAATTTTGTGAAGGATAAAACGAAACAGTTTTTCGAGGTAATAATGACATAGTAATTTAAGTTTTTTTCTAGTTTTTTTCTTATCGCACTTTCTAACTGATAGTTAACATACTGTGTACACAAAAGGCAATTAAACCAGAAAACATTTTTAAATTGATAAGAAATTTTACTGCTTTGTCGTGCTATTTTAGATCTTTCTAAGACAAGTTACGAGTAAAGAATGTTGTAGAAAAGACAAATCGAAGGACTGTAGTTTTAAACATTATTAATTAGAGTCAAGTGTCAGAATGAATAGTGAGGGGACACAAACGTCGACATTTTAGTAAGGTTAGGGTTGAGTCAATACACTGCCACATTTCCGGATTTTCTTCCTAACAGTTTAAGACAACATTGCTCATTGCCATTACCCAGTGGGGTAGGCAGATGCTACGGACCTCTATTCGACGCGGTCGTGACACCTATCTCACTTCTACATTCATGCATCTAAGTATACACGCACGTCAGTTTCGGTTGCTCTTAATACTGTAGTAGTCCTGATTGTTTTAAGTCTGTGTCTGTGTTCGTTTAAAAAGATCTAGTTGTCCCTTTCCCTCCGACAACATAAGTTACACTTATTATACGTTAAAACATAATCCGTGTTATAAACATCAACGTAAGAGGGCGCTGTTTTCTCTAAGATAATAGAAAACGCGAGGTATAATTATAATAATCTTTACATAAAGACGAATCAATATTTTCCAAAGAAAGCGTCCAAGAGACAAACAGAGATCGTCTTGGCCGATCAAGTATGACGATCGCGTGCATCAATGTCAATACTAAAATGCGTTCTTCGTACGTTTTAAACCTGATATTTACACGTTAAATAAGGTATCTCCAAATTGATGTACGGGGTGTCCGGAAAATACGTGTACAACGGAGTACTGCAAAATCATTGGTCGAAAATATGATTTTATCCAATTAAAAAAAAAGTACAATACATTGGTGTTGGTTAAATTCTTTAATAAACAAATTTGCAACACTAATTATTTCACAAACATTACTGCAAGTTGTACGCAATCGTAAAAGCAGGCAGTTATCTGCATGAAAATCAAATATTACGAAGAATACATCAGGATGTAACGCATCAAAAAACTGCATTATGCACTCGACTGTACGACTCCAGATTGCTTCATAATGAACATTAAAAGACATTATATCGCGTTTACAATTCCATCTACAGGACGATATTAAAAGCTTTTTGTGAACGTCCTTTGGATAATTGATTCAAGGTAATCATTATTTTGTAACTGCATTTCAACAATGTTGAACGGAAATTGTACAATAGTGTACAAAATCGATACTAATCTTGTTAAGCGAAAAGTTTGAACACCCTAATTTAAGTAATTACCAGTCGAATTTGTAATATATTATTAAAAACCGAGGGACACAGCCGCTGGTGAGTCGATTAACAATTTTGGAAGCAAAGAAACATTTAACTCCTTATATTATATGGAACAAACGATTTGATACTTACTTTTTGCTATTTTAAATAATAAATGTATTGGTAAAATTTGTAAATTAATTTTATTCTAATGGAAAATTACCTTAGCCCAATCTTACAAATATTATAATTGCGAATGTTTGAAGGTATCTCCAGAAAAGCTGTACGGATCTCACTGAAATTTGGTTATAGAACATAGTTTGAAAGAACACATAGGCTACTAATTAATTACACGAGGACGAAGTCGTGGGCGACTGCTAGTGATATGTATATAATTAAATGTATATAGCCTTTACATTGCTATAATATATAGGAAAAGCGACTTAAAGCTATGTTCTCTAGCAAAACAAGCACTAACGAGGATACATTATAGAGCTTTTTACAAAGCTTCATATAAAGCCCCGGAAGCTTTATACTGTAATAAAGGGCGTTGTTTTTATAAGATTATGGTAAATTGAATCGAGCGTAATGAGATTTAGATTGAGTTTAGAGATTTCCATCGTGTTATTCCTGATTATTGAAAAAAAATATATAAACGATACATTCCTTACAAGATTGATTAAGATAATTCTAAGGTAATCAGGGAGGTGTAAGAAAAAAAAGAAACACTCGCACTGTACGTCCCTGACCCAACAATATGTTAGGGAGAGCAAGAGAGCAGCATGAATAATCAGAGAGGAGTGTAGACGACTTGTGGATCACTGAAACATCAAGACCCCGACTACCTGGAAAGACTGATACACCGTAGAATAAGAAGAATGTACTAGGACTAAATAATACTAATACTAATGTATACTGCTATCTAGTTTAAGGTAAACATACCCTTAGGTATATAGATTAGTGTTATGGAATGAAACCAACTTTGATACAGAAAAATGCCTAATATTATAAGGATTTTTACGGACTCTTTATTAAATACATGAAAAGTATGAACAAATTACTATGTTTGAATACTTCAGTATAACAATACCAAACAACCAATGTACTTTGAGAAATAGAGCGTAACCAAATGCTCTGTGTCCCAACCGCTATATGGCTGTACTTTGGGAGTGACAGTTTTGGGTCACTTAAATATAACACATCACACACATAAATCATGCGAGAACTACAGATAACATATATTTTGTACTTGTCTTTTTTGTATTAGAAATCTATGGTATTAATAATTATTTTGCAAATACAATATAACTTTAAAATTATATTGTATTTGCAAAATTATCATTCTATGTTTAATATAATTTTGACCTCCACTGTCTGTCCGTGTGGAATTAATGAAAAACTTAATTAGTAGCCTATGTGTTCTTCCAGACTGTGTTCTACATCTATGCCAAATCCAAGTTGCCCCTTTGGAGATGCCTTCAAACAAACATCGATCCTTCCATTCATCACATTTATAATATTAGTAAGTTAGTAAGATTAACTATAAGATTGATTCTTCTTAAAGTATTAAGTTCTCGAAATATAGCAATCATTTAAACTCTGGCACAGTTTTTATTACACGTAAAACTTGTGTTACAAGTTACATCTTTCTTTATCATCAATTAATCTGATTGAACAGGTGCATATTGACTTAACAGAAGAGGCCCGTTACCATCCATATGTATCGGAGCGCATTAAAAGCCCATCAGTTTTTATTCATCAATACAGTTACTGGTACAATTAACTTACTAATGCAATCCAAGCGTAATGCAATAAGTGAACAAGTATCAATTAATTTTGATAAATCAATTACAAATTGATTTAAAAGTACCTAAAGTTTGTGGCATAATGGGATAAAACTATCCAAAATTTTAAAACGTTTTCAGTAAGACCAAATATTATTTTACAATTTAATATTATTAAAAAAATAATGCTACTTTAGTACTGTCAATTAAATTCTTACTAATTCTCGCTAATATTACAAATGCGAATGTTTGAATACATGGAAGGATGGATGTTTGTTAGAAGGTATCTCCGGAACGCCTTAACGGATATTAATAAAATTTGTCACAGATGTAGAATATAATCTGGAAGAACACATAGGCTACTAACGGAGTCTAGGGGGACATCTAGTATATAAATCATCATCATCAACCTGCCCTTATCCCTATCGAGGGTCGGCACAGTATGTACTACTCCTCCATACATCTCTATCAGCCGTCATATCCGAATCTACCCTCTTCCTACGCGTATCCTCTTTCACACAGTCATTCCATACTTTTTTTGGTCTTCCTCTACGCTTGTAGCCATCCACATTCAATGCTTATATCATCATCGTCCCTCCGCATAACATGTCCAAACTGCGCTAATCTTTTACTCCTCCTATTTATCGATCACTGGCGCTACTTTCAAACTTCCTCTAATATACACATTTTTAACTTTATCCTTTCTTGTCACACCACAAATCCATCGTAGCATACGCATTTCAGCTACATGCAATCTTCTTTCATCCGAAACCTTGGTGGCCCAACATTCAGATCCGTAAAATACGACAGGTCTTACGATGGACTTGTATATAAATAAATAGCTATATTCATGGTAAGTGTCTAATATTATAATATGGGCACCGTGATGGATATAAATCGTTAGACGACCGCTCGCAACGATTTATGTCCAGCATGTGAGGAGACTTCGCCTTGTAACGGAGGGGTGCTCTCGCCGGGGGCAGGGGGATGCTCTGAGCGAATGTACTGCGCGCGCAAGCTTTCCGAATTGGCATATTACGCGACTAAATAAAATATACCATCGTGTCTCGGCTTACCAAAATAGATAATTCATTTGCTATAAAATGGTTAATCCTTTTGTGGATATGTTTTAAGTTCGTAATGTCCGGTCTATTGACATATGTAACAGTCTTTGCTCTCAGTCAATAGTAATTCATGGTAAGTGTATAAGATGATATGAGGTAATACAGGACATAAATCGGTAGCCGACCTCTCGCATCGATTTATGTCCTACGACTGAATATAATTATATTAAGTTTTCTATAAATTACTCGGGGAATTGCGGGCAATAACTAGTGAATAGATAAATCTAAATTAATTTGATTTACTTAACATCAAATAAATTCCCACCAGTTGTCAAATAAGAACTAACAATAAAAAATGTCAAAGATTACGAAGCGTAACGCTGCAGCGAGATTAACATCATACAAAAAGGTTGTAATTTATAAAAAGTAAAGTTGGGCAAGTTGACAGGTGCACCTTCACAATGACAGGTTTGGGCGGATTGGGAGGACAAAAAATCGACGCATCGAATTCGATGATTCAGTAACGCGGTACTGCTGAGGGTTTATCACGAATATTTACGATATACCTTTGCATTACGTTGTAAATAAAATGAGTTAAAATTTGTATGACATTTGTCGTTACATATTCGTCGACATATTCGTCGTACAATTTTGCCACAAAACTGGCACTTTATACATAAAAGAATAACTATTTGAATTTGAATTTAAATTTGGAATTCACTGTTTGAAAAATACACTTAAGAAACACATGTAAATGACACAAAAGCATTTAACCTATTTCATTTTCATACACACATCTAAGGATACATTTTCCATAACCTACTCAGGTTATAAGTAATTGTGTGCAGTGTATTACTAGTACTTACTTGACTTCGCTTCATTCGTGAACACTTAAACAAAACCACCATAAAACAACACCATCTTTTTTTTAAATTATATTATTTAATATTAAGACGAGTGATGTTAACAACACTGCTTCTCAAACTAAATAATATTTTCATTATAAATAATACGATATACCACACTTACAATAATACCAACCAATAAAACCATTTCCTTTATTTACAATTACCCTCAACTATTATTTTATTATGTACAATCAATAGACCAAGATGTATAAATATAACTGTTATTAATTGATTCAATGGAAGTTTATTTTTCCGCTTTTATAAAACAAGAAACCAAACAAAATTGTCTAGTTTAGATATTCTACTTTCTACGATTAAATTCATAAACATAATAATTTAATTTATATTTTGATTTGATTAATAATAAATTGAGTATCTTCATGTTTTTACTTATAAAGTCGTTGCAAACGCTGTGAACACTGTAGGTCTTATATATAAAATTCTCGTGTCACAAAGTCAGTTACTATCCTCCTCTGGAACTGCTTGACTGATTTTTATGAAATTTTATATGCATATTTAGGTCCAAGAATAGGCTACAATCTATATTAAATTACGCGCGGACAGAGTCGCGAGTAACAGCTAGTATTTACTATAACCTTTCACTCGCTGTTACATTTGGAAAGTTATTACTACAGAGGAATGCGGATAGTTATTGTTATCTCTAGTTATAACTACTCTGTGCAGCAGGTAGCTGGAATACTACTGAACATACAATGTCTGTTATTACATACACTATGTGTACTTTATTATACTATGCGGCAACAGTAATAATGTTGGATTTGTATGAATAGATTAATTGATCTATACATGTCTATGAATGCTTATGTTTATGACTGACAGTAAGTTTTTTTTTCTTTTGTGTGTGTCTAAAGTTTAGGAACTCGTTATCGAAATTTTACAAGTTGCCTGTTTTATATTTGGGTCCGGATAACAATAACTCTTGTTTATCCTTTACAACCCTACTGTTATTTTTTAGGTTTTCAACGCACATGTTACTTTAACTATATTGATATTTATTTATCTCTTTTTTATTTCAAAATTATATTCTGCAATTATATCATATATATGATAAAATCTGAGCGTAGCATTTCCTATATCATTATGACGTCCATATCGGGAGCATCTGTCGGGGCATTGAACTGTTTCTCTTCACGAGCAAAGACCGGGATTCATACCGATGGGCGTTGCACACAATACTTATCGTGGTTAAGATAACCTTAAAATTATAGGTTAGCTTTTTACACAATGTATGTGCGTTTTTTCACTATCTTTTGACTAGTGACAATCGTGTAATCATTGTGGAAATAGAATTAAATGCATGTTCTTGAGTTTAAAATTGTGTATAAAACGAGATGCAAAAAAAACTTATGTAGTTGTTTTGAAGACCGATCAAACACCAAATAACTTTCATGACTCTGATTGAATCGAGGTATATTGAGGTATGTAATTACCATGAGATTCAGCTAAACCAACCGTATGCCATTTCACCCATGTCTGCATGGATGGGGCCTGTTTGGTCAACTGCGGCTTAGTGTGAACAAAGCTGTGCTCTTCTGCAGAATCTCTTTATACCTCGCCAAAGGCACCTAAAATTGTGCAAAATTGTACCTGCGCTTGCTTGAGCCTGTGCTCCGTCCTATGCACGGCGAGGAGTGGTGTGACTCGCACCAGCAGCCGCCACCACGGCCAGTCGCGCACCGCCAGGAACGCGCGCACGTTGCGCTGCACGCATCTGATACAGACAAGTATATACCATAAAATATAATATAACCACTTAAATTATTTTATGGACAAACTATTGTTCATCTCGACAAAGACGACAAGTAAACTAATTTGATATACAGGTTGTCCCAAAAGCAATGCAATTTTGTAACCGATGACCTACACATATTGCTATATTAAAAAAAAAAGCTATAATGTTATCATCAATAACCCTTTATCAATATGAAATAAAAAAAACAATACAACTAACAAAGATTTTAAAGAAAATTAAAATTGCCCCAGAAGGTGTAAAATTTTTAAGTTTTTAAAAAATGCCATTTATTTTTTTAATACCCAGACGGGAATTTTTGTTTTATTTTTCTGGTGACCCTTGTGACCACCCCTATCATCCCTCTTCCTATGTACGTAATATATAATTTATAACGTAGTATATAATTTTGGGACACCCTGTATAGTAGGGAAGAATGATAATAATAAGTCGATATTTTTTTATAATCTTTTTATTTCACGCGTAAAAAATAAAATATGTAAATTTAGTGATACCAAAACTACGTGAAACAACAGGTGTAAATAGACTGACGATGCAACGTGTTTTATCAATACCATAACGATCCACTGAATCACCTGTACGAGTGGTCAGGCACGTATTAAATACTTCTTAGTTTATTTCATTGTATATTTATTAAACTATATCAACTCGATCAACGTCGATCTGAATAGTACAATATTTCAGAGAGTAACAAGATTAATTTATTTATAATAACTAAGCTGTGTTTAGAAGTATTCTGCAAAACTGTAGAAAAAAATCGTTATGCCCGTCAAAGACATAAAGAAGGATGCTATATGGAAGAATGTTTCAGCAGTTGTTATTAAAATCGAGCATCTCTTGTAAAGTTTGTAGGATTATGTGGCACTTTACTTAAAAACTTAGTATCACTCTGTTTGCTCACCGTGCTGCGGTGTGCTGTGTCCGTAGCCGCTGCGCCCGGCGGCGTGCCAGCAGTCCGCGGGCACGCGCTTGCAAGCGTACAAGCACTCGAGCGAGCGCGGCGTCGCGGCGCGCGTCCAAACCGCCCACCACGCCGCCGCGGAACATAATCTATAACAATACAAAAAGATACATCAGATTTAATGCCATGAAAAGAAAAAAGTTACTAATATCCGAAAACATTGTTATCGCCCAAAAATGTCACATAGAAAGAATTCATTCAAAAAGGGTAAGCTGTAAATATGACAAAAACAACTAACTGTTGTAACTTAAAATTAAAAATATTAAAATCGTTTGAACAGTTTGAGATAAATAAACAAATCTTAAAGTTAATCTTATTTAGGTGTATAAAAACTTCTTAACTCTTTTTACATCTTTGAAAATGTTACAATTAAGCAGTAAATATATAAAAAACATTACAAAATGTAAAGGAAAACAAACAGTAACAAGTGATGCCGGCTGGCCTAGTTTGGTGTCGGCGCGTGGCTACTGCAAGCATTGTCAAGTCTCGCTTATAGATCTGGCCCAGTTAGACGCGGTAATGGCCACCTGACCACTTATTCACAATTAGATGATTTGTTTGAACCAGCTATACACCTAATGTGAAGTGTAGTTATTCAATGTTTATAAGCATATGTAATAAAGGTATTTTACATACAAATGTACTTATCTGATTAGATTTGTAGAAACAACGGTTATATTCTTACTAATATTTTAAATTCGAAAGTAACTCTGACTGTCTGTCTGTCTGTCCTTCTTTCACGCAAAAACTACTGAACCGATTTAGATGAAATTTGGTAAACAGATAGTTTACAGGTTGGGAAAGAACATAGGCTACTTTTCAAAGACCGTATTTCACGCAGATGATGTCGCGGGCACATTTAGTCCACTATATTTCAAACTAAAGAGTTTTGAATAAATCGATATTATTCGTTTTTAATATTTTTTTTCTTATAATATAAATCCTGTTATAATAAATTATTGATTAAATTGGGTTAAATTAAAAAATAAATTTACTCAATTTCGTGAAACTTTTAAATTATTAATATGTGTAGTTGATACCGCGTTCGTTGTAACAACTATCATCGTTTGTATAAACAGAGCGGACAGAGTTGCACTTTCTATTTTCTTTTTTACCATATTTATGTCGTTTAACGCATTCATGTAAAATAGATAAATATAGTGGTTAGGTAACTGTTGTAACCATACAAGTTTACTGCTATCTTCGAAAGTTAAAGAGAGAAAAACTATTATTATCTCCCCATAATTCATATTCAGATCATTCTTAGAATTAGAGCTGACTACTCGACTTGATCGTAATAAATTACCGATAAGATAATTGAACTTGTACGACCTCCATGATGTACTGTAGGGTTGTCAAATAAAAAACATTTTATGTTTTAATAAGCTTCGACTTTTTGAACTTATAGGATTAGACAGAGATAAATATTACCAGGCTTATCGAGGATATTATTACATCCCAAATGAAAGAAGGATGAACCCTATTGTATCACCAAGATGTGATTTAATCTTAACAGGTAGTCTAGTTTTACTCTCTTTCTAAGACTATTAACACAAAATCCTCATTTTGTGAAAATAAAATAATACACTAAAAAAAGTTTGTGACAACCCTAAGTAGTGCATCTGTATAACAGAAAACTGCATCTGCAGTTAGATGCGGTCGTTACAAGTAGAGCGAGTGCTCGGCAGCGGAGGCTGTTTGCTGAGGCACGTCCGCCGTTTGTTTTGTTAGACGTTGTCTACTTGTCCTCTACTTGCACAACATCCCATTTAGGTTAACAATACTACATTATTAACTGCATTTATTTTATACTTGACTGTATAAATGTTTGCAGATATGTTGCCGGCTCTTAAATTAGTGGGAGTCGTTGCGCAGGCCACAATTTTATAGGTATTGGGGCGAAGCGGGATGCGGGGACACTGCCGATGGTTTTGGACTGTCGAGTTATTTGAAAAGAGTTATACTAAGCTGAAAACGCGTTTTGTTTTTAGGTATAAAATCTTTACGTCGTCTTTCTATCCCTGATAAAGTGTGTGTAATATTTTGTGATTACGATTGACTAGTCAAAACGGAAAAGCTGAAGAAATTATTTACATAACTTTTTATAAAAATCGTGGCTTTATCGGAAAAAATATAAACAAATGAACGTAATTATAGTTAGCAAAAAGCAGAAATGAGTTTTACAACCAAAAGTATGTTACGCTATTAGTCTTATTTATATTCTGTTATAGTAAATAAATATAAGTTGACATCTATATTTATAACATACTTAGAAAAGTAATAACTGTGGTAGATATTGATGAAGAAGTGATAATTATGGATTCAAAAGAAATATTTGTCAACATGTATATTATTAAATCAATGAATCATACGAGTAATAACTGGTCTTGGGAAGATGTATGTTGTGTCATATGATAACAAATTGGCTTGTCTTGTTGTGTAAATATAAACTTTAGATGATAATGTAAATGTCACTAGACATTACAGTGTAATTAATTGTTTGATATAATCGTAATAAATATATTTTTAACCCATTTATTTTGCATCATAAACTCCGGTAATGACTCGACTAGAGCGATTAAAGATATTTTTCAATATATTTTATCATAAAATGATATTTAAAAGTGGAATGTAAAAAACGTAGCCGAGCTGATTTAGGCGCGAGCGGCTATAATTTCGTGCAGATTCAACCTACAATTAGAAGACGCAACTCTATACTAATGGTTGCCGCGTGCTCTACCCAGTAACTAGAAGAGCAAAAATCATTTTTGTTTACAAAAAAAATCTTAGCAATTTACATTATATTACATTAGCAAAAAAAAAAAAAAATAGAGTTATTAGCGTTTTCGTTAATATCTAGATTCTAGAATATAATTCTTCAATATCTATAAGTAAAGTTATGTAAGTATTGTCCACTCAATGAGGAAGTTCATTATCTTTATAGAGAGAAACTTTAGTTGTTACGAGTACTTTATTCAATAATCTAATGACAACATATCATCATAATTTCATACACAACAAATACAAATTACATGTTAAATTAGGTCATTGATTTCTCCGCAATAAGAAAAAATATCCAATTTTTATAATTTTAAATCAAATAGATTCATTAAATATTGAACAAATCTTGTTAACCGTTGGTTTGTCAGACCAAAATCTCCGTATAAAACATATCGTCATCCCTGTCATTATCTTTGACAAAACAGAGATAAAAATATATTTTAAACAGGGGTTTTAGTCTCAGCAACCCACAATGAGAAATCTGTCTTGTTCTTAAAATCTATAAACTCTTTAACTAAAACAATTCCTTACATATCACTACTGAGATAACGGTCAATTTGCATTGTATTATAAAAACCTTGACAGGTAATCTTAACCACCATCATATTTAACATCGGGTGTACTTTTAATGAATGTATAAACCAAGATTACTGGTGTCATGTCCAGTAGAGATATTCATGATGTTAACGATGTATATGATACGATATGATATGACGTGATGTGATAATATCAACACGGTATCAACTTCCTCAACACAATGCTCATTAACTCGACACTCGGAAGCTCAACTTCACACAATAACAATCCTTCGATGTTTAAATTGTATGGGATCCGTTATATACAAACAAATGACTTGAGTTGAAGGTAATTAAAATGTGTCGTTTTAAAAGCCGGTTTGATGATAACGCGTCTGTGATATGATGGTAATTTGCATTGAAATGACTGCGAATATATTATTAAAGAATTAAATTTAATTGTTTTTATATTAATTAGAAATATCAAGTATATAAATATTTTTACCTTTTATAATATAAATAGTTCAATATGTTTTTTTATTAATTCAGGCCGAATGAGTAATGAACTGACGAGTAGTTGCATACCAATTATTTAATGCAAAATCTCATTTGAGAATAGACATTTAAGAAATAATAAAGCAAAAAGGTCTCTGTTACTAACAATGAACACAAAAAAAATGTTGTGTATAGGTACTTTATCATAGAAATTATCGTAGATTTTCGCCATCCGTTTCAATCTCTACAAACAAAGATATTTTTGTAGATGCATTTTGGCAATGAAAACTAACATTTACATCTCGTACCAACAGGTATTATTGTTGCGCGTGATATACGATTGGAAAAAAGTGTCCGCGTACAAATACAAACTTGTCGAACGTGGAGATATATTATACAGTTAAGTATACATTACTACGGTTTCTTAGAACGAACCAAAACGGGAATTACTTAACGGCTTTATGGCGATCATAATATGATACAAGTTTAAAAATAAGATTTCTAACTTTACTTTTAGTGTTTAATTGTATTCTTCTAATCTTTATATCTAGGTTTACTGTGAATTTAACTTTAACATAAACACTCAAACATTAATATCATTTTTATTACAATTTGTGTTGCTATAGACGCACTTCAAATTAAAAATTCCAACAAAAACATTATTATATGTTCTTGTATAAAAACAATGGATTCATGAGATCGAATTTTCCATTGTTAGTAAAAACAAAGTCAAAACTAAATGATAAATAACATCCGGTTATCTCATTATTTAGTAAAAACTACAAGGACGGTTAAATATAATATAATCCTTCCCGCTTAGTGTAATTTTTCGTCCTGCTCGGTTTTGAAAGGCTATAAAATCCAAAAAAAAATTTAAATCACATAAGCAGCTCTGTAGATTTGCGCGTATAAACAATTTCTTCAGTTCTATTCATCATCATCATCATCAGCTCACTATACGTCCCCATCGAGGAGCTTGGAGCCTACCCTATTATAACTTAAGAGTGATTAGGCCATAGTCAACCACGCTGGCCACGTGCGGGTTGGTTAATTTCACACATATCTTTGAATTTCTTCTCAGACATGTGCAGGTTGCATCACGATGTTTTCCTTCACAGTAAGAACTATTCTGTTCTATTGGGCATTTCTAATTTCTACAACGGATGTCAGTTTCATGAATATGTATATATTTACATGTGACCTAAAATATCCCGCGTCATTAATAAAGCTTTATAATTCTATCTAAAGGTGGTGGTTAACCGCAATTAGTAATAAGTCAGGCCGTAAGTATAGGTCAT